TAATTATTAGTTGAAAAGGTTTATTTGATTTAAAATAAAAATATAAAAACTTATTTAACTTAAAATAAAAATATAAAAACTTATTTAACTTAAAATAAAAATATAAAAACTTGATTGAACATAATAAAAATATAAAGATTTATTTGAATTGTTTTTAAAATAATTTAAGAGTTTTTTATATATTATACTTTTTTATTTTAAGAACGAAAGCATTTAGAGGGTAAACTTATTTGGAAAGTTGTAAAATAGGGGAAAAGTTTTGAAGCTGAGCCAAACGGGCCTCATTTAGTCCCCTCAAAGTTTTGCTTTTATTTATCTTCCTGATAAGGCTTAGGGAGCAAGCACTTGATTACGCAACTGAGGCTTAAATTGACATTGCAACAAGGGTTTTTTCTTTTCCCCTTTTGGGAATGACAGCCATGATCTTTGCATATAAATATGTATGAGGAAATAAAAGGAGGAATGGATAGACATCACTTTTTCTGATCTATTTAAAATTTGGGACTCTATTCAATGATTTGGTTCTCGAATCCTGACGACATACTAATGAACAAGGATGGAGTTAGTCAACTTTTGTTAAGAGGTCAAAAACTAAGAGGAATAAGGGTTAAAATTTTTGAAAACTAATATATTAAACTTAACTAATAAGTAAAATGTTCATAATGTACAATAATTTTATATAAAATATAAATCAACGGGAACAAGAAAAAAAAAATTTACAATAGATTTTTAGAAAAATTGTGCTCGATGTTTGAAAAATGAAGTTTGTTTTATGGGTGAGTTAAAAAAAAGAAAGTAAAATAAAAATAAAAAAAGAATACTTGTTGGCTCTAGCTTCATAACATGTGCAATGCATCAAGATTCGTATTTATACATTATGTTGCTAGTTTGAAATTTGATATAGATTCTCTATGATAGTTGGTAAATCAAAATCAAAAAAATGAATTGATTTTCTTTTCGGTGTCTATCCAGTAAGAATGACAACCAATGCTTGCTGAGATGTACTATAAACCAGAAAGCTTTATATGGAGATTGTGCAAAAACCATGTGTTTCAAAAGGAAATGGCTCTAAGCTTTGGTTGTTTCTGCTAGTAGATTGCTTCATTATACGTAACTTATCTCATATTAGGGATATGTTCTATATGTTTTTGTTACAATACTACCAAAATGAGGTAGGTTTTGTTCACATCTATTAAGTAATGAAATTTTATCGAATGCTTTTCAAAATGTAAAAAATAAAAAGACAAAAGAGGAGAAAGAGAGAAAGAAGTGTAGTGGATCCTAAAAGTTAGAATAAATTTGAGTAGAATTTATAGTATCATTTTATTATTTTTTATTTATATTATTTATTTTTTAAAAAATAAAAAATATATAATACTTATTTGGGGGTCATGGTCCTAATAAATATACTTCACTCCTGATTAAAATATGTATAATGAATAAAATATTTAAATTTTTTTTATATTACTTAACTGCCCTCGGCCCTGCTGATGAACTTATCTTGACCATCATCTCCAGCTTCGCTGTTAAGGTGAAAACATATATAGGTATCAATAATTAATAAATTAATTGAAAATACCTATTTATCATGATTTCAGTTGAATTTTGTTTAGATATATATTGTAGATACAGAACTTCTGATTTTACATCAAATTTTCATGGTATCTTGAATTGTGCATATGTTGGCCAACTTTCTTGTTTCAAGAAACTTAATCTCGTTAACAGAATACATCAAATTTCAATTTAATGAAGTCTCAATTGAGTTCTAAAAACTGAGTGAGAAAAATTGATGTAAAAAAAAAGTTTAAGATTG